AACCCAAACCCAAACCCTAACCCTAACCCTAACCCTAACCCTAACCCTAACCCTAACCCTAACCCTAACCCAAACCCTAACCCTAACCCAAACCCTAAACCCTAACCCAAACCCTATAGGCTGCCATCCCTACCGCCAGGCCTGTAGGCCTACCCATTAGTTAAATCACAGCCTCACTCACTATTTTGATATTGCAGCTCTTATCAGCTGACTGATATTTTATTCTCTCTTAGATAAGCTGAAAATGTATCTCAAAAATGGATCCTTTTTGATTACTAGGAGCCATCACTAGGGGGGGACTATACTGCTTCCAGTCAGTCTTACAGTGCAGTGAAAAAGTGGCCAGAGCACCTCTATTAGCTGCTTTCATGAGACAGTTAGGCATGGGCTAATTATTCACTTTCACATATGGAATAATTCCCAGTGGAAGAGGTCTAGATATGCAATACTCTGTTATCTTGTACCTCTTTCATTAATACAACAATCAGACTATATAGCGGAATGTCCACAACATCCGCAGTGTAAAAACTACACGGACCATCGACATATCAAATAGTAAGCATACTAGTATTTCTAGATTAAAAGGCATTTCTTAATCTATAGTTCAACCGTCATGCCTACATGTGGTAGTAGTGACATTAAGTACTACCCGCTGGTGACAGTAAAAAATCTATTTTGGCAGTTTTGTAGCTATAGGCTGCCCAGAAACTAAGGTTAATCATAAGCATAACCTGGAACCGAAATAGGCATGTACAAAATAGAATAGATTTAGGGCTAATGCTTATCCTAGCATGCATGTCTCATTCGTGATGCTTAAGGAGTGCGACCTTTCTGCTATTTATCATATTACCTACCACAATCTCACGGAGACTTATAGTAATGCTGACTCATGGTGGATAAGAACACTTAAAGGGCCCAGGAGATGCACTGGCGGTAATATAGAATACCGATTGAGATGAGCTATATAAAAAGGTAGATTGTCCCGGCTACATTTAATGGTGAATCCAAATCAAAGCATTCTATCAACCGTTTCTACCCCATTCTCTCACCTTACCAGCAAGATTCGCAGCCTAGTTATCAAGTCTATCTCATCCTCCATCCTCCACAAGATGCATATCTCACCCTGGGTCTTTGCCTCTTTCATGACCGCTGCTACCGCAGCTACTCTCAAGGTCAACTACTATTCTGACGGTGGCTGCTCCCAATACATGACCTCGCTCAATCCCGGCGCCGGTTGGGGTTGCTACGACTACGTGTGGTCTGGCTCAAACAGCATGAATATCGCTGACTGCACTTTTCCGAATGGAAAGTGCGTCTGCACCTTCTATGCCCAGCCGCACTGTCAGGGTGCCCAAGAGACTGTTGTCTATCCTCAGAACAATTGTGCGTCAAACTGGGGCCGCGGATTCTATTCCATGAAGTGTGGTGTCGTGCATGATAACTGAGCAAAGCGGGCTTATCATCGAAATCCTGAACTTTGACCGTCTTGGTTCAGTCTTGCAAGGCCTTGGCGGGGGCTTGTGTAAATGAGTTGTCATCTCATAGGAAATCGAGTGTGGTTCTAGTTGGCAGGGTTGGGTAGGCGAAAGATTTGGAGGAGATGTTACCTTTTATTCAGGGGCATACGAGTAACATGCTTCCAGAGATATGTGGCTTAATGGATGCTGTCGAGACGCTAGTCATGTACCTAGTCAAAAAACCTATCAGCCCATCTGGAATTGACACTATCTACTTCTAGTCATATGTTCCTTGCTAGCTCTGTCTCAACCGTGCTTTTGTCCCTCCACTCGTCCCAGCATCTCTTTGAGCCGCGACCCAGAACCGTTGTAGGCCTCTGCTCATTCTGCCTCCGTCCTTGTAAACTAGCTAAAAGTTGCCATGGAAAAACAATCAGTATTCAAGGCGCTTGCTAAGATTCATAGATCACATAACTTAGCATTGCGTGCTAAGAGAACTGCTCCAAGATTCATGGTGCCAGCGTGGAGGTCCCGACTAATGCAATGTCCTCATCCCGCACGTCATCATGAGCAGACCGCTGGGTATCTATTTCCATCAGTTCTTCAGCACGGGAGATGCGCAGGTATAATCTTGATATCGGAGAAGGTAGTGGATACTATCTGCGAGGGATAAAGTGTCCGGTGCTTGTGGCCGCCCATACCATCTACACAGCATCAGAGATTAGTACCATACGCGTGAGGCAGGGTCTCGATCATCTGTCTGACTCTAAGCGGCAGATTTGGGTTGCAAGAAGACCAGGGAATGGAAGACTCCAGGGGAAGCTGGGTGCTTGGCGTCTTCTACAGCAAAGAGTATTCTGATTTTTGGGAAAGCAGTTGGAGGTTCAGTAACGGTGTGGGGCTGAAAGGAAACTGCCGTCCGTGGAACCAGACCGTACATACATATGACAGTATGTTTAGATTGGGGTATACAAGTGGGTTGCAGGGGCATTTGACGTCTGATCTCCTTATTTTTTTCAGTCATGGAAGCTTTGGGGCCATTTTTGATAGAAATTTTTAACAAGCTGGAAACTATATGTATACATTGTTACACGGATTGCCTCAAGCAAAGAAGGAATGAAACTCAAAACCCCCAACGTCCTAACTGCCCTAACAGCATATGCTAATCTTGATGGCCACTACAGAAGAAGCATGTATCACACAGCAGGATGCTTTTTAATGGGACGATCTTGCCCAGCTCCCTTCAGTCCATATTCAGTATCAAGCTGTGACCGTAGCTTGATATTCTTCTCCAAAAAGGAGAGCAAAAATGACAGCCCTGAAAATCCAATCCAGACCTGCCATACCACCCGTAAACTGCGCGAATATATTGCAATTATCTCTTGCCGCACTTTTGGGCTTAACGCATTGATCATTTTGCTTGATGCCCATGAGTAAGCATTTCCACCACCCAGCATGGTACGAACAGCAGCGTCACTGATAGAAGAGGCGTATCCGTCGAACTGGGTATCGAAGATGGCAGCAGGGACCGATGGACCCCAGAGAATGCCAAAACTCCACACAAAAGCCCAGAGTGCCGTAGACGTTGCCGTGTCTTTCCTTGGTGTCACCACCGCCAGTCCCTTGCGCGGCGTGGGCAACAATCAGCATTGCTTCGTTTGATCCGCCGCCACAGAGCCCGCTGCCCAGAATGAAGAGGACGACTGAGAAGATCAGTGGGTATCGGCGGCCGAATACGTTCGCAATTTGTCCATATATGGGTGGTATCAGTCTCCAGGTCGTGCAGAAGGATCTGGAAACAGCCTATATGCGACGGCCACCGCAATCGGAGCCCCTTTAATATCTTCAATTCGCAAAATAGTGGGAAGTGGCGCGTTCCATGCCGACCTCACATACTGGCGAGAGGAACTATCTGACATGCCGGATGTGCTTCCCATTCTACCCATATTGACAGCGACTGTTCAACAACCAAAGCAGGACTACTCCGATAATCGGATTGACTTCAAGATCCCCCGATAGCTTCGTGCCCGCATCAAAGACGTCGCGTAGGCATCGTGCCAACTCATTCCACTTCTACCTCGCAACCTTCAAATCACTACTGTACCGGCTTTCGAAAGTAAAGTATCTGATGATCGGAATTACAGACGGTAAATCCAGTTCATCTGGACGGAGCGATGGACGGTGTGGGCGTCTACTTGAGCCTCCTCCCTGTGAAATTGTTGTGAAATTGTTTCGAGGCGGGCTTGGTG